CATACCAGTGCTTCGAAATACATCAATTCGTTCTGCTGTAATGTTGTATTTTGGTCTTCCTAATGAACTTCTTTCGCGGTAAGGTACACTACGAAACTTAGCACTGACTTGAAAAGAAGCAGTATTTTTATGCCTGATGTGGTTTAGTAACTCCCGCAAGAAGTGTGGAAGGTCGTCAACCAGCACTTTTATCTCTAAAAAGCCTTGGACATTGGCGAGAACTAAAAAAAACGCTACGATTATTTCAACAAAGACTTCCAAGCGATCGTGTTTACATTCCATTTTTCTCTCGTTTCCTGGAGCTGTGCGTCGTTCTATATGGGAAATGCAATCCTGTATAGAGAACAGAAACCTCTCCAAGTCCTCCACATTACCGTCAGCAACTTGAAGAAGGACAACGATGTATAAAAAGGCTACGTAACCAACAGATCTACAAACTGCCCTATCGTTTGATCGTTTTGGCGGCAACTCGGGTATTCTCGACTTGATGAAAAGATTTTCGACTCAGAAAAATTCTCAACTAGTTGTCAGAATTCGACTCGAAGAAATAATTCTCGACTGGCTTGCCATAACTTGTAGAGCAGGGATCTACTCCTGCAAAACATTTAAGCCTCTCGCCGTTTTTTTTTTCTTTTTTTTTTTTCATTTATTTATTCTCAGCACTAAGGGAATCGTAATAACCTCGCAAAGATTGCACGCAATCGCCTTCGACGACCGCCATGTTGTTTTACCTGGTATGCAAAATGGCGGCATACGTACGGTTGCTGTGGGATCACGTGACGCATGCAAGACCTCCGCTATTTGGGATTCAAAAATTTCTGGACAGGAAATCCAATTAGCCTGACGACGCCCTGAAAATGTGGCTTCGTAGCACTTATGTTAATTACTAGTGTTGTTGTGGGAATTAAGGACATGTATCTCCAGTACTTACCAACAGGTAATCCTTTTTCATTGCAGCTGTATTTGTCTTCACTTCTTCGAATGTCATTTTCTCGTACTTTATACTCGATGCAAGACAAAGCTTTTAATTCTCCATTTGCTGCTGATTCAACAACAGCGCAGCGAATTTCCCGTCCCTCTATGTAACTGCCGGAAAAAAAAAACAAGGAGGAAACGAAATAGAAAATCATTGAATAGGATTAATTTTTTTAACTGTAAAACGTCATAAGGCTGCAAAATTACACATAGTCTCTACGCAAGGCGTGTGGCCCCACTCCAATGAATACAAAGGAGGGGTCGAATTATTATGATAGAGTAATCTACTATGTTATAGGAAAGCCCCACAAGTCTGCATTCCGAAAATAGCTTGTTCAAAGTCTAAAGCCTGCTTGGTACACTAGTAAGATTTGCAGCCACTTGTTTAGTATTCCTCCAAAACTTACTTCGTACTTCAGAGTGACCCGTTGTTTCTTTTTAACAATTCAAGCCAATTTCACAGGAAAACGCGAACGACCAAGTCGGGATTGGTTTTCGCTTTACCATTTGATTGGTCGAGAAGGTGGTACGATTATTTTTACCAATCACAAAGCATACTGAAGAAAAAAACTAATGTCAACTCGGATTACTTTCGACAAGCAATTAAAATTGCTTTCTTTTAATTCATGCATATCTCAAACCTCATTGAGAACCATCTGATCTAAGAGCTAACAAGCTTAAGCATTAAGGCTCTTTCAGGAGATGCACAAACTTTTTTCAAAAAAACGTCTGTGAATAAACAGGTTTCCTCGTATTTTGAGTCACTTACAGTCAAATTTACACAAGTACTTTGAATGTTTCCCTGTATTTAAACAAATGCTTTCATCGACAAATCAGATTCATCCGATTTTGGATCCGACTTGCAGTTTCCTTCATATCTAAGCTTGACAACAACTTGGCCTATCGGCTTATCAATGTCATCACGGTCAAAACAGCCAAACCATGTTCACTCCTACGCGCTTCCTCGACTTCAGCACTTACTCAACGGCAATACCTACCTTTCAATGATCACATGGTCTGAATACGATAACGCATGCTCAATAGCTGCGTTAAGTAATTTGGAGTCTTTCACTAATCGCACTGCTTTGGTGTCTTCTCCTAGACTTGCTTTGACAACACATGGATACCTAACTTGTTCAGACTCTAGAGGGTCACCTGTAGCAAAAGAATTCTCAAAGTCAATCCGATTTAAATTACCAATCATTTTTTATTTGTCGGTGGTGAGTTACTAGCGTCACCAAAGCTTCGTAGACTCATTGTAAAACAGTGTAAAATTGATGTAAATTGATACAGTTACTTTTTTAATTCACAGCGGTGCTATCAAGAGAGGGAAGACTTGGTAATGTGTGAGTCGGGTCCAATTTGAAACTGATCTCTTTTCTATAAGTCCGTTTTCCAACACCTTAAACTCAGTATTGTGTACATTTTTTCGCTAGCCAAATGGTTCACTTTTCATTCGTAGGAAATAGCGGAGCACAGAAGCTTGGAATGACAACTTACAGGTCAGATCTCTTACTGAGGGGTTTGTTGGTTTCAATTTGATGTAGTTTGTTTGTTAGCTTGGTAAGGAGTTCAAAAAGGGGTCTAAAAATATTGTTTTCTCTTACAAGAGTGTCGCTTCTACCTTTGTGGTAAATAAATCCATCAGGGCATGAAACATCGCCGCAAGAGACCAAAACACCACGTGTAATGAGTTTGTCCATGGAAAGATATCGCGATTCCACTGATCCACCCACTAATGGAATATCCAATGCATCAAAGAGCGCCCTGTGGATAAGAAAACGAAAAGCCTCTGTCAGTATTAAAGATAAGAGATCTCTGTATTGTATGGAGGAAACTGCTTCAGTCACTATTCTCTTTGATTCATGTAAGGGTACCTTTCTGTTCTCTACAATATCTCTAAAAGTAATGAAGTTTTCTTTCAAATGGAAGGCCATGAAGGCTAATTTGTATCCACACAATGAATGAAAATCATGCTCGCTATTTTGAATAGGATCTATTTACTGATCACTTTTGCAATATCAAAAGAATCGAAGTGTGCCCTATTACAGAGGCGTAACTAGAACAGTGCGTAAGATCATCAACAGACGTCAAGAATTTAACGTTTGGTAGCGAAACAAACGACTCAATTCGCGTAAACTAACTTGTTCCGTGCAAAACATGAGAATAAACAATTTATAAGAACTCGCAAAATGACGCAAAAGTCACGGAGTTAGTCATTAAAACCAGACGAGACAAACTACATTAAATTGAAACTAACAAACCCCTCAGTAAGAGATCTGACCTGTAAGTTGTCATTCCTTTTAAACAAACAAAATGGAGTAGAGCCATATCTGGCTGTATCACATGTTTAATGTGCTGCAAGGCGGCAGTGATGTCCATCTTCTTGAGAATGTTTCCTCTTTCCTCCAATTTTGTCAAATCCACGATATCAGAAAGTCTTTCCGCAAATGACCAGGAACCAGCTGGTCGCACGAGGGCGTAAACAAAATGATAATCATATTTTGGGGACTGCATTTCCTCGTGAAACGAACCCCCATACAGCATGTTTAACTTGAAGCTGAATTCATCCGAAGGTGAACCCAAAACATGTAAAATCTGAAACAATAAGAGATTTTTTAACAGTAAGCCTCACTTAATGTGATTCCTCAGATAACAAAGATATTGAATAGTTCTTTTAACTTTCCTAAAATGTTTCCCATCAATGTTTGTTTCGAAAATTGCAATGAAAAAGATAGGTCACCGTGCTTTCTTAAGTGATATGATGAGCTATGATGGCCCAATCCTACTCCCATTTTCCGCCAGTTATGCCCGTACGGTCGGATCTTGATTAGCTGTATGTTGCCGATCAAGTTAAAGAAAGGCAACGGGAGGCGACGGGGGAAAAAAATTTTTATAGAAAGGAAATGATGTGTTGTAGGATGCATTTAATCGAAAAAAGGTCACGATGGTAATGGTAATGATTGCCGAGTTTATTCTGCCGAGAAAAAAACGAGAAATGATGAAACGTAATCCACTAAGATTTTAGCCGTTAGGAAGGCTGTGACGACTTGCTTACGCTCAAAACGTCGGAATCATGCACTATTATTCGTTCGTTCAAATGGCTAAAATTATCATCAACTATCATCTCGAATTTGAACATGTTCAAATTGCATGATAGTCGATAGCAGTTAGTGACACACTCTATTTTTATATAAAAACGTCTAATTTTGGGGCTGAGGATAAATGCTCCTTGGTTTTTCGCGATTTGAGCCTCAAAACGTATTTAACATCTTAGAGTTGTGTGGTATAGTATTTCAACAAATCAAATGCACTGTTTGCTGTGATGTGGTATTAAGTTGCTTGTCACATAGTTGTGAGCCTTGCTTTGATGCCGCGAACAAGATGTCCTGCAAACCAATCCTTGTTAACCTTGGCTTCACAAAAGCAAAAAGAACAAAAAAAAGACGTTCTTCACTGACTCTTATGCTGGGTATTGTTGTGTACCGCAATTACCATACCCCGCGAACTTAGAATCTGCATGATTTTCTTGTATGTCTTCTGTGTGTATTCGTTTGTACAGCTTATTGAGTCATTTTTATTACATCACTCTTGCACTTGTTATCAATTAGGAATCGGGTTATTAAAACCTTAAGTCTTCAATGGTAAAATGGCGTCTCTACTTCACAACAGGTTTACAATAAAGCGTTTACCTTTACTGTTTTCTTCATCCTTTGCTTTCGATTAGAGTGTTGTGTGGACGTAACGTCTGCCAAAATTCAAAATATCTGAGTAAATTAATTAAATCACGTAAATAGCCCAAGTTTGCACCCTTGTAGCATGGTTCCCGGGAATGCCCTTTTTGACGTAACAACCTTTCCCGACCCAGTGCCTGAGATGCGCGGTCGATCCAGGTGTTCGGTTAGTAGAACAAAGCGCCACAGTAGCGGCGGCGTGAAAAGGCCTAATTCGTTCAGTTTTATCAATTGAACGCCAAAAACAGGATAGGGGTTTAGGGTTTACGTTAAAGATGACCTATTACTGTGATGTGTTTCGACACTCTGGGTTCATTAGTTGTTCTGCTTTCCTGACTTGAACCGGGTGAAAATGCAAAAAAACTACGAAAAAATTGTTAGTAGCACGTTCGCGAGGGTTGTTACTAAATTGTGGATCAGTAGACCGTAGAACCTCCGAAACCATCGGAACTTGCGGAACCACTAATTTTTTGTAAAAAAAGTGAAGTAAAATAAGATTTAAAAATACCTCAACAATGTTCGAAATTTCGTTTTCGGGTATATAGAGATAACGTTAAAGGGGAAATATGTTATACATATACATATACATATACATATATATATTTAAACATATATACATATATATTTATACATACATACATACATACATACATACATATATATATATTAAACCCCTGAAGAGTGAAGCGATTCACGAAACAGGCTTGTCGGGAAATGTACCCCCTATTTTCTCTCATATCTATTTATATATATATATATATATATATATATATATATATATATGTTTGTATGCATTTATTGGATCAATATGAGTATCTGGGCAACTGTCCACCAACCCCTCCCTTTACCCAACATTAACCTTAACTTGTTGTCAATTGACTGTTGTTGGGTTAGGGGAGGGGTAGGTGGGCAGTTGCCCAGATACTGATATTGATCCCATTTACTTATTTATTGATTGATTATCTTGACGTCCAGCCACATGAAGCCTAAGCTTACACAGTGAGCCTCTATGGACCCCGCGACTATGTGAATATGCAAATATATATTCACTTGCGAATTCCAACAAAAACCGAAAGACCTTGACACTGTTTAAAAGTTCGTTTCGGGTATAAAGAGAAATATGTTTTAATTTTCTTTGACGTCCAACTTAACTGTGGGACATTCACCGTCCACGGGTAAGTAATATCTACAGAAGCAATTAGCAGTCACCCACCCCAAGCGTGAAAAATTCAACCATAATTTGAAAGCTCTAAGGGTTTTTGGGTTCGGCGATGTCCGGGTAACACCTCATCCGAAGGCTCCCAGCAAACCTTTAAGCTGGAATCGGCGACACCTGTGACACATTGTCATCGCGTAACTTATTGTCATATAATTTCCTGTGTGTATTGCGTTTACGCGTAAAATACCTGAGATTGTTTATACGTTTCATTGGTTGTATTGCGTACTTGTGGTTGATGTTTCTACCGTTGCGGAATGTTATGTAATTATTTCGAGTAGTCGAGTTCTGTGTAGAAATTAAGTCCTAGAGATCAATGTAAACATATCTACATATTCCGCTGGTTCCGGAGGCCCCTCGCTGGGAAATAACTCAGTACAGTTTTATTAGCTGTATTTATGTGTGAACAGCCTGTTTTCGTACATGTGAAGGTTTTTTAAAAAACAAATTACGGCGGCTGAAAATATACGTTCTCATAGGAGAAAAGTCGTTGTCAACGGAAATGGAAATTGTCTTTTTACCGAGCTGCGACTCTTTGGAGGGATGAAACAAGCAATGAGAAGCACGAGGAGATCAGTAGGTCGAGATCTAGTTTGTTTCAGAAAAATCCCAAGATTTTTCAGCTGCCACTCCTCGCTAACTAACCTTGTAGTTAACTCCTAGTCAAATATAAACACAGTCTCGGTTCGAAAATGAAGCGATCTTCGCAATGACGAACATACTTGAGCAGTGGTGAAAATAAGGCCTGAAAAGAATTCAGGACTAATAGAGATTTGAACCCATGACCTCTGCGATACCGCTGCAACGCTCTGCCAACTGAACTAACAAGTCAACTGGGAGCTGGTCATTATTTTGGTTCCAAATAAACCCTTGAAGTGGTGAATAAACGACTGTAAATATATGAAAGTCATACATTTGAACTGCGGATAAAAACGTGAATATGAAGGCGATCTTCGCAGTAACGATATTCATTTTCACTATTGCCCAAGAAGTTCGTATCGCAAAGGTCATGGGTTCAAATCCCCTACAGGCCTGAATCTTTTTCAGGCCTTTTCTTCGCTACTGCTCAAGAAATGTTCGTTACTGCGAAGATCGCTTTCATATTCACGTCTTTATTCGCAGTTCAAATGTATGACTTTCATATATTCACAACCGTTTACAGTCTCGGTTTATTCAACGCTTAAATTTTCTACAGTGATGTCTTCGGCTGATTTAACTGACTAATCATAGTATTTTATTTTATGCAAAACTCCTTCCAATGCCACGCTCAGAAGCCGACGCATCCCGCGGGATCGCCTTTACGCGTTTTGTTCCAATCTCTTCTTGATCGTTTTGAATACACTTGTCTAACATGTAGCTCTCATTGGTCAAGATAATTCCCTACTGAATAAGTAGGCGCCAAGATTATGTTGAGCTTCTTTTTTCTATTATTTTTTCTTTTTCTTTTTTGCTTAGTTTAATTTTTGCGTTACTCTAGCTTTTGTTTTGTCTTGATTAGTTATTTTTTCGTTAGTTTAGGTTGAAGACTAGCGTCGGTTGAAGACTCGAGTAATAGCGGATTTTTTGGTCACAATCGTCTTTCGCTTCGCTTTGTTTCGTTTTACCTTGCTTGTTCGACTCGTTTAAATTTCGCTATAATTAGCCATGAACGTCAAGAATTACCGGGATCTTGACCATCGATTCGATTCGATTATGATGCAAATCATTCGCATAACTAGGGCGGAACAAAATTTACTCCGGCCTGTACCTGTGATATCGTTCATCGTCGAACTAGGAATATACGTGGAGAAAAATCTCTTATTCGGTACCAGGCACACGATAATAAACCTTTCCACCGTTTTAATCTTTACGGAAGATTGACTAGCCGGCGAGCTTTCAAAGAAACTGCCGCAAAGTGAACTCTAAAATCGAACGATCTGCAAAGTTTGCGGCGATCCGTGGGAAGCGAATGAAAATATAGCTGTGCAAAGTCAGTAATATTACTTCCCGTACCATTATATACTTTTCCAAATTTCGCGACTTCGTGGCACCCGATCCTTATTAGTTTCCGCTCTATTTTTAATCTTCTCTTTCCGACAGTGTCGATGAAAATTCACTAACTGGTCTATTTCATGAGTTAAACAATCTGTAAAAGGTCCAGGAACCACGCTAATGACTCCATAGGCAGCTCGTTGGCCGCTTGTTAAAATGAGTAAGAAGAAGACCTTGTTCAATTCACAAACACTTTGGATACAAAAAGCAGTTTGAATAAATATGAAAATAAAATACACACATACATACCGAGTTTCACGAGTCTCTTTGAAGAGTATACGCAATGTCGACCAACTAGATACGCTGAACAATGGTTTGGTAATTTATGCAGTCTGGTTTTGATGTAAAAAAACCAGACTTTCCTGTCGTGACCGTGATGAGTAACGCAATTCTAATAAATATTAAACGTTTCGAACCCGGTTATGAATTTTAGGTAAGCCATAAAAACGTGGACATAAGCCGTCACTACGTATAGTCACTAATCTTACCAGCTTTTTCCAAATCAAGCAACATTTTAGTTAACTTTCTTTGAGTTCTAAACAAAATTTCAAGGCCAAATTTCCGTTCTTTTATTCAACTCTTTCTCTAAGTAAGCTTACACTGTCGAAGACGACGCATCATTGTAAGATAATTCCCTTTCTTGGAAACTATAGACAATTCTAAGAGAAAACTGAGTGATTAATTTTGTATCACAACGCTTCCTTACATTTTGTTAGTGTCGTCATTTCGTTAACTTTATCACAGATTAAAATTGTTATTCTCTTGTTGACGCTTGCGCAGCAAAAGATTCTCCACCATCATGTCAAACAAACTTTCATCTGTAAAACCTGAATCCTTGGCAACTATATTGACAACGCTCTGTGGACCAAAGGAACAGAATAAATTGCATTCTAGGAGGAATGGATTTCCTTCAACGTCTACTCGGAAGTCGAATAAACCAAAATCGTGTAAACCCAACTCTCGAAAAGCTCGGCAACTTTGTTGTTGAATACGATGAATCAGCTTCTCCTCTTTTCTGGGATCAAGGAACCATGGTTTATTTTCAGGAGATTTGCCTAGAATGAAAACAAACATAGAATCAAGCAAATTGTTAAGAGGACATCAGTGCAAAAATCATACAAAAATGAAATTTTTATGGCAAGAGTC